CTTTCTAATTTTGCCCTGAAAAAATGAAGCATTCCAATCAACCTTTCCCTGTATATCCCAAAAGAGATTGAAATGCTTAACTGGCTCGGTGCCTGTAACTCAGCAGCTAGGGCATCAGCCACATATACTAGAGCTGGCAGGTTTGAACCTAGGGCAAGCCTACCAAGCAATGACAACTACAACCAAAAAATAGCTGGGCATTGTGGCTACTTGGGAGGCTGAGACAAGAGTATCCCTTAAGTCCAAGTGTTTGAGGTTGCTGTGAGCTGCGACGCCACGGCTGAGGGTGACAAAGTGAGGCTCTGTCTCAAAAAAAAAAAAAAAAGAGGGAAAGAAATGCTTAACTAGGGTGCCACCTGTAGCTCAAAGGAGTAGGGCACCGGCCCCATATGCTGGAGGTGGCGAGTTCAAACCCAGCAATCAATCAATCAATAAATAATTTAAAAAGAAACAAAACTGCAATCAATCAATCAATCAATAATTTAAAAAGAAACAAAAGAAATGCTTAATAATGAATCTAGTTGCTATGCTTGAAACTACTTAAAGATATTTGAGTAGTTTCCATTTGGGGGCAATTATGAACAATGCTGCCATGAATAATTTTGTAAGCGTTCTTTAGTAGAATATAACACATCTCTGTTATATATGTAGAAGTAATGTGTTCAATTTTAGTGAGTGGTAACTATGATAGGCAGAATAATTGCTCCTCCAAAATGTCCTTGTCCTAATCCCTGGAACTTGTAGCTATATTAGGTTATATGGCATAAAGGAAGTAAGGTTACACAGGGAATAAATGTTGCTGATTGGATGATCTTAAAATACAGAGCACATTCCAAAATGTCCAGATAGGGCTAATTTAATCATAAGGGCCCTTAAATGGAGGAAGAGGGAGGGAGGGGAAGAGAACCAGAGAAATGGTAGCATTGAGGCAAGGAAGAGAAGCAGAGCTAGATTCTGCCCTCGTAGCTCTGTACAGACATTAGCCAGACAGTCTGTGACATGTACAAAAGCCACTAATTGCTACCTCTATTGCAGCAGATGTGTCTGTTATCTATATGCCCTTTGCAGGGTAGGTGCTGGACCTGTGTAGTAATATTGTAACTTCCCTAACTTTCTGTCGCTTTTGAGGACAGGTGGCCCTATACCAAGGGCATGGGCCAACCTGACCTTTCCCTGAATCACAAGACTTTGATGTGCACCCAAGCCCTAAAATGCATAAAAGGAAGGCCAGAGATTGAGTTGGGGGGGCTCAGTTTTTAGGACACTAGTCTGCCGAGCCTCCTGGCCACCAGTGAATAAAGCCTCTTCCAGCTGGTGCCTGGGGTCTTTTGTCTGCATTGGCTTTTGCTACAGCATCAGAAAGGCTGAGTTACCCTGATGTCCCTAGCTGTGAAGATGAAGGAAGGAGACAATGAGCCAAGAATATAGGCAGCCTCTAGAAGTTGGAAAAGGCAAGGAAAATGATTTGCCCCTTTCCAGAAGGAACACAGCCCTGCTGACACCTTAATTTTAGCCTAATGAGACCTCCAGAACTATAAGGTAATAAATTTATATTGTTTCAGCCATGAAGTTTTTGGTGCTTTGTTATTGTTTCCTATTAGAAAGTAATATACTGCCACTTTTCCAAAGTAATGATATAAATTTATACACTTAAGGAGGTTTAAAAAAATAGCCATACTGGCCTGGCACTAGTAGCTCAGCAGCTAGGGTGCCAGCTACATACCCTGTAGCTGGCGGGTTCAAATCCAGCCTGGGCCCACCAAACAACACTGACAACTACAACCAAAAAAAAAATAGCTGGGAATTGTGGCAGGCAGCTGTGGTCCCAGCCACTTGGGAGGCTGAGGCAGGAGAATTACTTAAGCCCAGGAGTTTGAGGTTGCTGTGAGCGGTGATGTCACAGCACTATACCCAGGGCGACAGCTTGAGACTCTGTCTCAAAAAAAAGGATCTCCTTCCCTGCCTGTTCTGAGTTAACACAGCTGACCTTTTCACTCCCTCAAGGTTGAACAATGAATCCCTGATAACACAGTTCATAAAGAAGCATTAAGATGAGGTGGGTGCTCTATGCTTCAGCAGCATGTATACTAAAATTTAAATGAGCAAGGATGAGACAAAAATTCATGAAGTGTTCCTTATTTTTTCAGTAAGTTCCCCCCTAACAAGTATAATGTACACATAAATGATACACTTCCTGGGTGAAGATCACAACTACAACTTGGATTTGACTTTACAAATGGCAATGTAACCTAATCATATGTACCCTCATATGAACCTGAAATTTTTTTAAAAAATGAAGTCCTCATCTGGGTGCCTGTGGCTCAAGTGGCTAAGGCACCAGCCACATACACCTAAGGTGGCAGATTCGAATCCAGCCTGGGCCTACCAAACAACAATGACGGCTGCAACCAAAAAATAGCCGAGCATTGTGGCGGGTGCCTGTGGTCCCAGCTACTTGGAAGGCTGAGGCAGGAGACTCACTTGAGCCCAGGAGTTGGAGGTTGCTGTGAGCTGTGATGCCATAGCTCTCTACCCAGGGGGACAGCTTGAGGCTCTGTCTCAAAAAAAAAAAAAAAAGAAGTCCTCTTTATTTTTACAGAATACTTTTTTTAACATGCTCAGAAAGTGGCTCTTTGTGGCTTGGCATCCGTAGCTCAGTGGTTAGGGCGCCAGCCACATATACCAGGGCTGGTGGGTTCGAACCTAGCCTGGGCCTACTAAACAAACAACAACAACAAAATAGCCAGGCATTGTGGAGGGCGCCTGTAGTCCCAGCTACTAGGGAGGCTGAAGCAAGAGAATTGCTTGAGCCCAAGAGTTTGAGGTTGCTGTGAGCTATGACCCCACAGCACTCTACCTAGGGTGACAAAATAAGACTCTGTCTCAAAAAAAAAGTGGCTCTTTGTGAAACGGGGACAATCCTACCAGCTCCTATGTACTGAGACTACAGCAGGCAGCTGACCTCTGAGCCACATCCCTGAGAGAATCCTGAACAAGGAGGTAGTTCTTACAACTTGACCAGGTTGGGTTGTAAGTGGAGGCTCTGGGCAGTGTTCCCCACCTCTCCTCTTTTGCTAGGTCAACAACATTCTTGAGAGGAAGGGTAAGTGAGTTTCTGATATTGCACCCAAGAATCCTGGAGTCTGGAGAAAGGATACCTCATTTTCCAAGTTTGCAGGATAGCTTCCTTGGTAGTGATACCACCAATTGCTAGATTTCACTAGGTAACAAATTTACAAACCTTGAGAAGCCCTGGGCAGTTTATATCATAAAGATAGGTCACAAAACGAATGAAGAATGATCTAATATTGAAGCTAGTATCCATGTACTTTCCTGACAGATGTCAAATATTGCAGTGTTTCCCTTCATAAAATTGAAATATTCAGTGGCATGCCAAGATACCCTCAGCGTACCAGGGTGCCTTGGCATACAGTTTGGGAATCATAGCTGTGACATTTAGAACGTGAGTGATTCTCATTTTTTCTTTCAGTGACTATTCAAATCAGGATAATCTCTCTGTTTTTTTTTTTTTTTTTTTACAGAGTCTCATTTTGCCAACATCAGTAGAGTGCTGTAGTGTCACAGCTCACAGCAACCTCAAACTCTTGGGCTCAAATAATTCTCTTGCCTCAGCCTCCCAAGTAGCTGGGACTATAGGTGCCCACCACAACACCCTGCTATCTTTAGAGACAGGGTCTTGCTCTTACTCAGGCTGGTCTCAAACCTCAGGGCAATCTAACTGCCTCTGCCTCCCAAAATGCTAGGATTACAGGCCTGAGCCCACCTTAAAATGTTAATTTTATACTCTGCCAGGCCACAGCAGGTGGATAACTTGAGTTCACGAGTTTGAGACCAGCCTGAATAAAAGCAAGACCCCACCTCTACTAAAATAGAAAAACTGAGGCAAAAGGGTCTCTTGAGCCCAAGAGTTGGAGGTTGCAATGAGTTATGATGCCACAGCACTCTACCCAGGGCAACAGCTTGAGACTCTGTCTCAAAAAAAAAAAAAAAAAAGTTAATTCTGTAAGGTTTGATTTAACTGACCCCTCCTGTGCTTCAGAGCTCTCTAAAATTCAGCCCACCAACAGAGCCTTTTAAATGACCACAGAAGGCCTGGAGTCTCACAGGTCTGTCTGAATTTTAGCCTGTTCCCACAGAGGTCATCTTGGGTAAATCTATAATAACTTTGAAAGGTAAGCAGTTTTCTATTTTAAATAAAAATAAATTAAAAATTACACTATTTTTAAAATGCTTCACTAATTTGGAAGTCAGCCTACCACTAAGAATACACTGCAATGGATTATTAAATATTAGGAAAATACAACACACAATATAGAGTATTACATATTTATAAGAATGCTCAGTGAACCTTCCTACCCCCCAACATTTCATATTTAATTTTCTTCCTTTTAGTTAAATGGGTAAAATAGATTCAAATTATAGAATATACGGCTCGGCGCATGTGGCTCAAGTGGCTAGGGTGCTAGCCACATGCACCTGAGGTGGCGGGTTCGAATCCAGCCTGGGCC